GATTACTTCATACACTGGCTAAAGCTTCTAATTATGTAGCCAGAGGTTCACCACTTCCGTACTGAGTCTGACCTATTCACACTTACCATTATACACCTACGTAGTGGTAATAAATTCTAGCAGGATTTGTTCTAGTTCCAATAAAAAGTTTTGCAGTTTATATAAATTGCTCGAGTTGATGTTGAGAAGTACATGTACTTTGTCATCTCTATGTTTATTTCATATGAAAGACATTGTCTTTCAGTGGTGTAAATGGATTTTTTTTTAAATCTCATCATCAACTTGACATTTACAAGACCACACCTCTCAGGAAGAGGTACATGTATTACCGTATTAGTTACAGCTACTGTTCATAGTATTTCAGACATAATGGTATTTGACAAACACTTGGTTGGAAACCAGTAAACTAAGTTATCATACAACAAAAATGTCAATTAAAAGTTATAGTTAAGTCCACAGAGAAACCAATGAAAGTTAGCAAACACTACTTAATCATTTCAGAATCACATGTTTCTGACATGCAATGAGAATCACATGTTTCTGACATGCAATGAGATGCAGTAAATTTCAGTATAGGAATCATGTTAATTGTAGAATAAAGCTAAAAACTATGCATAAAATGTGAAGTTACCCAGTCAACGAAGCACAGTTTGTATCCGTAGTAGGCTAACATCATTACAAAAGTTACCAGTACTCAACAAGTATCGGTAGTCACAGCTACCTACAATATGAGGCTAACATCATTACAAAAGTTTACCAGTACTCAACAAGTATCGGGAGTCACAGCTCACTACAATATGAGGCTAACATCATTACAAAAGTTTACCAGGACTCAACAAGTATCGGTAGTCACAGCTCACTACAATATGAGGCTAACATCATTACAAAAGTTCCCAGTACTCAACAAGTATCGGTAGTCACAGCTCACTACAATATGAGGCTAACATCATTACAAAAGTTACCAGTATTCAACAAGTATCGGTATTCACAGCTCACTATAATATGAGGCTAACATCATTACAAAAGTTTACCAGTACTCAACAAGTATCGGTAGTCACAGCTCACTATAATATGAGGCAAACATCATTACAAAAGTTACCAGTACTCAACAAGTATCGGTAGTGACAGCTCACTGCAATATGAGGCTAACATCATTACAAAAGTTTCCCAGTACTCAACAAGTATCGGTAGTCACAGCTCCCTATAAAATGAGGCTAAAATCATTACAAAAGTTACCAGTACTCAAAAAGTATCGGTAGTCACAGCTCACTACAATATGAGGCCAACATCCTTACAAAAGTTACCAGTACTCAACAAGTATCAGTAGTCACAGCTCACTGTAATATGAGGCTAACATCATTACAAAAGTTTACCAGTACTCAACAAGTATCGGTAGTCACAGCTACCTACAATATGAGGCTAACATCATTACAAAAGTTTACCAGGACTCAACAAGTATCGGTAGTCACAGCTCACTATAAAATGAGGATAACATCATTACAAAAGTTACCAGTACTCAACAAGTATCAGTAGTCACAGCTCACTGTAATATGAGGCTAACATCATTACAAAAGTTACCAGTACTAAACAAGTATCGGTAGTCACAGCTCACTATAAAATGAGGATAACATCATTACAAAAGTTACCAGTACTCAACAAGGATCGGTAGTCACAGCTCACTATAATATGAGGCAAACATCATTACAAAAGTTACCAGTACTCAACAAGTATCGGTAGTGACAGCTCACTGCAATATGAGGCTAACATCATTACAAAAGTTACCAGTACTTCATTGGAATGTCCCCTGCCTGTTATGATAACTGTACAACTCTGTACTGTCATATCTAAATGTGTTTTTATTTGGACAGTAATACATGTACCACGACTTGGGACCATTGCCATAGGGTGCTAGGCTGTACATTCTACTTTCATTTTATTGTTGTCATCTGCCATGAAGTCAGCAAACAATGATTACCAAAGGAAAATTCAGACATTTTTGCAGAGGCACATCCAAATACTAACACAACAGGCAAAAAGATTGTAACAAAAGATAACATGCAAGAAAGAAGATTAGGAAATGACAACTTTGCCATAAACTACAGAACAGTTTATTTACCAATTCAGATTCTATTGTGATGCTACTGTCAGGTACAGTGAATGGAGACATATAGTCCAAGGGTTCACTGCTCACCATCAGCCAAGGTTTGCACTTTCAAAAGTCTATGTGATATGTACTAAATCAATTCTGTCTCTCTCGCTTGGAAACAATGCTCTAATTGTGTTATCTGGTAAGGTTTAATGCCCTGAGGCCTAAGGGTTTGGGTGCTATACTTCCCCAGACAACACTTGAAATGAACAGTTACCTCTGGAAAGAGACATAATACTAAATAGATAAATATTCAACATAACACAAACCTTCTAAATTTTGATGGCATTCGTATCAGCTATTAACGGCGTAAAATCCCAATTGTTGAAGAAATCACTAACATCACATCACAACTGTTACATGGATACCGTTGACCTTTCCCAGAAGAACCATTGACCTTTCCCAGAAGAACCATTGACCTTTCCCAGAAGATGGCAGTTCTATTCATTGAACATGCATACAAGATCCATACACTTTTTTGAACTAAATGCCATTTTTTTAATAAATTAATTAAACTTTCTATAAAATTCAGATGTTACAATGACAGTATATGTAAGTTTTGAACCGCTTTCAGTTGGCACTCATAGTAATTTCCAGCTGGCATTCATATTGACTTAGGAATGTCATATGAAAGCAGTTTAATGCTAACTTTATAAGTCAACAACAGCAGTTAATTCTAAACAATGTACATTTGTAAATCTAATAATCACAGAGCTAAACATAAGCCTCTTTCAGCTGTTTTTCCTGGTTCTATGTTTGACATTTCAGCGCTATAGCCATTGATAGAACACCCCAGCTTGATCCATTTATAATTCATCAATATACCACATAACATCGTCTTCCTCCTATAATACATTACTCGTCAATTCACCACACACCGTGGAAAAGTTATATACCTCACCATTCTCTCACACACAATGTTACTAACATAGAACAATGAATCTCGGTATCCTTTACCCCTCACACATCACACCCCTGGTATACCATACTGACATGACCACAAAACATCACATAATGCTACCCAACATAAAACAAAGATTTTATCTATCTTTCTCATATCACACTCAGTAACATTTTATGGCCTTTGACATATCATCTTTCTTTTGGATACAATGTTACCCCAAATATTGGAAAATTAGTTTCAACATCATCGACCCACACCACAGTGAAAACACTCAATCTTTCAGCCATCACAATGCTCTCTCTGTTGCCTTTTACCTCAGTCAGACTTCAAGTTAATTGTAGTACCAACAAATTGCTCAACATTAATGTAATTAATGGCGTCTTTAGATCACCATTTTGTCATACACATACGTACAATGTTACTCATTATTACCCAACAACGCTACCTGTTATTCAATATTGGTATTGTTATAGTCATCATTGTTCCGGTTATCTGAGTTTGTTAACCTAAACCTGATACTGGTAAACGTTATTCAACATTGGTATACATTATTCAACATTGGTATATGTTATTCAACATTGGTACACAATATTCAATATTGGTACACATAATTCAACATTGGTATATGTTATTCAACATTGGTATACGTTATTCAACATTGGTATACATTATTCAACATTGGTTTACGTTATTCAACATTGGTACACGTTATTCAATATTGGTACACGTTATTCAATATTGGTACACGTTATTCAATGTTGGTACACATTAGTCAATATTGGTACACATAATTCAACATTGGTATATGTTATTCAACATTGGTATATGCTATTCAACATTGGTACACGTTATTCAATATTGGTGCACGTTATTCAATATTGGTACACGTTGTTCAATATTGGTACACATTATTCAATTTTGGTACACGTTATTCAATGTTGGTCCACATTATTCAATATTGGTACACATTAATCAATGTTGGTACACATTATTCAATATTGGTATACGTTATTCAATGTTGGTACACATTATTCAATATTGGTACACGTTATTAATATTGGTACACATTATTCAATATTGGTACACATTATTCAACACTGTTTCCTATAACCCGACACTGAACAAAATAGTCTAGAATCTAAACAACATCTATGGTGGTAACTAGTTACATATAATTTCCATTCTCTTAACCACAATGATACTTGTTAACCTTACACTGAACAAAGTAGTCATAAATACCATGTATCCATACGGTCTAATGGTATCCACTAACAGGTCCACACACTGACATTCTCTGTAATGAGCCTACTACATTCCGCCAGATACAGCAGGATGAAGAATCTATAATGTTATTACACTATATGTTTCCCATAATCTCATGAGTTAAATTGTTAAATTTAACTTTCAATACAAACCATCATGTCATATGAGACATCTTTTATCTTCATTTATAGACGACATCTTTTATCTTCATTCATAGACTTATCTCATTGAATCACATTGTGAAATAAGGAGGAGAAAATCATACATCCTTACTCTAGAAAACTTTTAGAAAATAAATACAGAAAATCTACAATAATGAGGATTATTCTTTATTAAAAACAAGAATCTAGGTCAACCGAAAGACCATGGTAAGCAGTTAAGATTTTTTTCTTGTTTTATGTAGATTTTTTTTTCTATAAGAAAAGAAAAACAAGGATTGATCAGAGAAAATTAAGATAACTACCAGTAAGTAGAACTGACCTTTATATCTAGATAAAACTTATATGGTAATATTGAGTCAGAATCACATATACATGTATATCAGAAATGAAAACCGAAACATCACAGAGACATCTTATTGCTGTGCCCGTGATCCCGGAGATCAATACACTGCCACCATTGTGGAGTTTTTCTCCTGTTCGGTTGGTGACCAAAGGCAAGGATTGAAACCCCCCTCCCCTCACTTACCAGGTTCTGCAGTGAGTCCTCAACTAATGCCAATAGGCACAGCTTTTAATCAAGTGTTCAAGACAATTTCCAAATAGAGTCACATTTCAGCCAGAAAAGAGAAAAATGCGTTGAGAGTAGTTAGATCCAGTAGTGAGGGGCTTCCATGAAGGTGGTAGACAGCCAGCAGATCAATACTCACAAAGGACCCTGGGAAGGCTGTGATTATTGATGAGGCAGTAGGCCTCTGTGTAGATGTAGCTGTATCTATAGCAGTAGTTGATGGAAGAATGGTTCTCAGTCAGCACCAACAAAAGATATCCACGGAAAAGTCAATAGTGCTTAACCTGTGTCAATAATCTCTGCGAGTCTGTAATAAACCCAGGGATCTTGGAATATATGTAAATTATGAAACCAAGCTAAAGATCGGTGAAAATACCCATAATGTATTAGCCTGGGTCCTCATCAAGGTGTATCAATATGTAATGAGCTAGAGTATCAATGTGTAATGAGCTAGAGTATCAATGTGTAATGAGCTAGAATCCATTTAACCCTAGTTCGTGACACAAGGTTGATAGCATTTTGATCAATGAAACATAAAATTCTTGTGATCTCGACAGGTGAAGTGAGACTTAGACAGGGCACAACAGGGTATAATATGGTCACCTTATAAAATTACATCAAAACACAACAAGGAAGTTCCATATTATTTTTTTTTTATCTATTTCAAGCAGTTTGACAGCTATATAACGAACCAGGAAGAAATCTATCCATTACCTTTGTCTACTGATTAGACCTTTCCAGATTAAAAATGACATGGGATTTAAAGGAATAAAATGCCAGCATTGCAGACTATTGTATATACGATTGTGTTAAGAACAATAAGATCGGGGTTTATTACTTCTGGAATTGTATCCCCCCAACTGCTCTCCCGTTCTCACGACCTCAGCTGTTGCAACGGTATCAAAACCCCAAACTAACAAATTCTCAACTGCTCTTAATTCATTTATTTGATTATACACAGAAACCTAACTCTTAATTGTATGCAACCAAAACTATACCGTCAAGAGCCACCCCAAAATAAGAAAATACCACAAAACAATAGATCACCTTCTCATTTCAGGTATTGCTATAATTACTTGTAACCTAATGGTCAATGTTTGGTCGAGATCAATGGTAAACTCTCAGTTGTCTTGAACATTTCTGGTACTATTTTCTAATGTAAAGTAATTTTTTAGATAGCTGCCAGGCTTTGAAAACTGAACTGTCACGATTCTGACATTATTCTACTGATTTGAACACCCGAGAGCTCCTTAGGGTAAGTGGGTTTGTGAATGACATTCAGGTATTCGGATCAACAGCTAAACAGTGCACCACGGCAGCCATTTACTCCGTTTTTGCAACATTCCTTTTAACGACACATGAATACAACTAGAGTCAATATGAGCCTTAAAAATTCCTGACGTTGGTTCTGAACCTTTTGATCAAATTAAATTAATTTCACGACATCCTGAAGTAAGAGGACCACAAGACCTGACGTAATATCACTTATCTGGTTTGATGACATCTAGTGCATATACATATATACATAAAATGATCAACAAAGAAAGTTATATTTGTAAATGGTATGAATATGGTATTATAACTTTAAGGCCTCAGGGAAGATGGCTGATGGACCACAAAGGCTGTACCATGGCATAAAGTCACAGGTGACACATGTCACTGATGAATTCAAAATTCAAAATATGTCCCTAAAATTGATTCTAACTCCTAACCTATGGTAAAACAGCCAGACAATATCAACTACTGTCAGGATAAAACACACTGATAAACTGGCTGTGCCAATAAACTATCACAAACACTCAAAATCAAGCTCAGAAATATTTTTTTTTAACACAAAAAAGTTGTTTTGTTAAATAATGGGTTCTAAAAATGTGTGTTCAAAGCAGTCTCTTTTATCGATTTGTGACGTGAAAACTCCAAATTATTTCATCACTACAAGTACCCCATGCTGCCTCCGAGGGTTTACTCTGGGCGAGAGGCGGCGTCAAGTATTGGTATTCTTAACAACCGTAACTAAAACCTGCAGAGAAATCGGTCCTGGATCCGTACACTACAGAATGGCAATGAGGCTTATCCAATAGGCAGATTCAAATAATTATTGACAATATGCTATGAACAGGATAATTGGAAATAAATTATTGTTAACCAAGAAAAACATTCTTCAAATAGTCAATGCCCATTATGGGTGTGTTTTGTACATTATACTGTTGTTATGGTTACAGTGACGCAGAACTGTTGATTTTCAACAAATATCAATATTTTGTTCAGCTATATATAGAATGTGAGTGCAGGGCTTGAATACCGGTCTAGAATGGAGTGTTTGAGGGAGTCTATCTATCAATATTAACACAATGCCGAGATCTAAACACAGACTCTCAACCGTTATCTCCACCATCTTGTCCTAAACACATACAATCATTATCAAAGTAAACTAGGCCATACGTCATAATGATAACTCAAAACCACATCTACATGGTACTTTAAAGTAAGTATTCTTAAACAATTATAACTTTTGATAAATCTGTCGCATTGATGAACAATCAAGTTGCTTCTATCTAGCTGCTTTTTACTGACTTACCATAAGGGAATTTCCATTTAGCTCTCTAATAAAGTACTAAGGACTATTTATCTGTAGTTACTGGTTCAACTCCTTGTGACCCGATAGAAAAAGTGACTTTGTAAACATGAAAACTAAATACACTATTGGAAATGGTTTAGATTAGGGTCCAGTGTGTCTTCAGGATAAAAGACTTTGTTAAGTGAGGAAGGTCAGCAGGTAGGGCAGTTTGTTACAGCATCCATCTGGAGTATAATGATCAACACTCCAGGTTCTAATCCTGGCCTGGATTGTCACAATTTTCCTTTCCTGTTATGAATCAACGCTTACATTTTTTCAGTAGAATCATTAGTTTAGCAGATCTACAACTAATAATTGACTAATTGTGCTGATTGTAGCATTAGTATGATAGTGCTAAATAATTCCAACATATTAAAAAAAATAATTTTTAATCTTTCAACCACTATATAAATGATAACAAGCTAAATTCTATGTATTAGGTGCAATACTATAAAATGCACAGTTCAGAAAAATATTTTTTATTTTTTAACAATCTTTCAATTTCTTAAATTTTTTAAGAATATGTTTAAATGAAATGGTAATTAAGAATAGAATTATTCAAGAAGCAACCGTACTTAGTTTGTTTTTTCCTGAATTCCGTTTGTTTTTGTTCGTAACTGTTGTCCATCATTGTAAAAAACAATACAAATGAAATATTGTTTAAATTTGAAATAATTTGGGCTCATTAAGTTAATTTAGGTAACATGCTTTGATAACTCTCCACTAATTAATAATACTGCACAGAATTATATCTTATCAAGGGAGGTAACTCTAATATCAATTACAGGTACATTGTATAACACTAGATATGGTGTTGGGTGTAATCAGGTAGCAGGTATCCTTAAATTGGTTAATATTAAAAATCCTCACTTAACAGGCTAGACATCCCTATACTGTAGTTTGCAGCTCACTCACAAATTAACACAATCTTTGTGTGACAAACTGTTTAATCACTCTAGATGGCAGCTAATCTAGAGCAGACACAAATTATCACCTCATCAGTAAAAGTACTGTGGATATGGCAAGTAAACATAATTATGAATAGGATCCAGTGGTGTTGTTCATCAACCCTTCGTTTTGAGTTGACCTACTATCATGAGAACTCTGAATAATACCACATTGAAATTGACCGCATTGCAGGGAAGTTGGGCTCCCCCTAATCCTCATCAGTAACAATTAGGGCTGTCAGAATATCATCAATAATTACTGGCTAATACAATTGTCAGAATACCCACCAAAATGTAACAGAAATCAAACTGATTTATCTAGATCAAGAACCATATCATATTTTCTTTTTCACAAAATACCAATGAGTGTTTGAAATCCTACACTTATCTATGTCACAAACAGTACAAAAAAAACTTTTAAGCGGATACGGCATGCATTGTACTGTATAACATACAATCATCTCTGTCCAGTCAGATTAACACAATACAAAAAGGCTATATTTAGAAAATACAGGTAAAGGTATGTTTTTACATTATTTACTTAACAAGTAAGGATTAGTTGCTCTAAATGATTTAATAATAATCGGCCAGTATGAAGCTAGGAGGAGGATAGGACAGTGACATACCATTGACCAGTAACTAAGTTTAATAAATAAGTGTAATTATCTATCAGATATCAGCTCCAGTTATAAACTCAGTGTGCTACATGTAATAAAGGTGCCTCTTCTGAGGATGACTGTAATTTAACGTATACCTATAATAAAACCTTTTTACACCAAATGCAATGTTTGTTGTAGATCATCAACCATCAAACATTACAATACCTTTACCATGTATTATTGGCTTTGATAGACAAGATGAATTCAGCTTAATTTCATTATCAAATAAACTTGCCACTCCTATATTTTTTTACATTAAATTGTAGGCCTCTTAAAAGAAACATTTGTTCACACATTGATGAAGCTATCCATATCTCATGAGAAAATCAAGATCATGGAGATGGTATACCCCTAGCAATCAACAGTATTCAGATAGTACAGTTGCAGTAATTAAAGAGCATTTCAATGGTGTATTATGTGCTACAAAGATAATCAAGAGAGTGTACCATTAACAATCAAGAGTTAGCTAATTCAGATAGTATACTATAAGAAATCAAATTCATTCAGATTATGTACTCTTAATAATCAAGAGAATTCAGAGGGTATACATCAAGGAATCAAAAACTAAAGCATTTAGATGGTGGCGCTCTAGCAAACAGAGCATTCACATGGTAGACATTTACCAAGCAAGGGTTCAAATGGTGTACTAAGAGCAAAAAAGAACATTTAGAAGGTAGTGCTCTTAGCAAACAGAGCAATCACATGGTAGACATTTACCAAGCAAGGGTTCAAATGGTGTACTAAGAGCAAAAAAGAACATTTAGAGGGTGGTGCTCTTAGGAAACAGAGCAATCACATGGTAGGCATTTACCAAGCAAGCGTTCAAATGGTGTACTAATAGCAAAAAAGAACATTTAGAGGGTGGTGCTCTTAGCAAACCGAGCAATCACATGGTAGGCATTTACCAAGCAAGGGTTCAAATGTTGTAGTAAGAGCAAAAAAAAACATTTAGAGGGTGGTGCTCTTAGCAAACAGAGCATTCACATGGTAGACATTTACCAAGCAAGTGTTCAAATGGTGTAATGAGAGCAAAAAAAGAACATTTAGAGGGTGGTTCTCTTAGCAAACAGAGCATTCACATGGTAGGCATTTACCAAGCAAGGGTTCAAATGGTGTAGTAAGAGCAAAAAAAAACCATTTAGAGGGTGGTGCTCTTAGCAAACAGAGCATTCACATGGTAGACATTTACCAAGCAAGGGTTCAAATGGTGTAATGAGAGCAAAAAAAGAACATTTAGAGGGTG